CTACACAATGTAAACAAATGTAAGAGTCCGGTTAAAATGAGAGCAGAGAGTATTGTATGAAGATTGCTTAAGACGATTTATTAACACTGTAATAAAAATTCTGGTTCAAATTTGAACCGCCTATGTATTATTGTAGTTCGTGATGTACTCATGAACAGGCCCCATCAGCCATATTAACTCACGTGACCCCAACATTTGGAGCAATGAATCCAGTATTGAGTGTTCATGGAGCTCCCCCACTAGCTTGTTGGCTAGGAAACCAGCGCTTTGCATGTCATCGCTGGTTTTTGATAACCTCTGTTGTAACTATGTGAACTTTAACCCTCAGCAGTTAAGAACATGGATTTGTGGGCTGACCGGGCCTGAATGCGGTATGGAATCTGGACATGTTAGTGTGTTTTGTTTGTTTGTGTGTTTTACAATGTTAAGCGTGTTAATGTGTTTGTAATGCTGCATCTACTGGATAGAAGGGCCAATACATTTCAGCGTTAATAATAAAGTGGCGTTACTCGTTTGTTGGAACTCGTGTGATAATTGAGAACTCTTATCAACATGGATGTGACGATGTATATTTTATGCTGTTTGTTAATTCTTACAGGAAGAAATATTGGTAAGTTACTGCAGTTGCAATTAATTTATGTCTTTCGGGATTGTTTTAGAAGTGTGGCTGTTGGGCATATATATATCTGAAAGTAAAATAATTTTACATTTTACCATGGAGTCTTATGACCTTGAATATAGAATCAGACATTAAATAGGAGACGGTACCTCTTTAGAAAATGGTGATCGGTTACTAATGCGTTTTTTGGGTGGGGTTTCACGATATTTGTGTCGTAATTTAAATGACGTATTGAAGAATATATTTGGTGATTTTATTTAACGACGCTTTATCAACTCTACACGTAATAAGTCTAATGGATTATGGTGAATGATGAAAGAAGTGGTCTTGACATATTTTAAGGTAACTCGGAACATTTTTTATGGGGAAAATATTGAAAAATCCTTAGATTTCCCATATTGGGGACGAGACTCAAACCCAGACTCTCCTGAATACGAAGCATGAGATTTAATCACTCAACAGCAATGTTTGGTTGTTTATACGTACATTATTTTACGACCAAGTTGGATGCAGTAACAAGTTTCGTTGCGTTTAGTTTAGCTCAATGTGCCTAATACTGTGTGTTCCTTCACAATACTGTCGCAAGGTTACGTAGTTCCTGTAGAGTCCGATGATATGGAAACTTGATCATTAATGGTAAGTGGGTAATGCTTTAGAAGAAACGGTTATGGCTTATCTGTCTGTATCGACGTCCATTTGGAGAGACGGAGGAAAACTACGAAAACCTTGTGGTATGGCAGAACAACACCACTGCATTCGTCTGGAGTGTCGGACAAACCAGCCGTGGCTGATCACAGCATAAGCCTGACAGTCGCTCAATAAAGTCTTCAATTTTTTCGAAATTCTTATTATGCTTACAATAATCCGCCATGGACCCTGTCCTCAGCCAGATGAATTCAGTAAGCTCCACAACCCATTTATTCAAGAACAATTTTAATATTACCCTCCTATGTACGTCTAGGTTTCCGAAATTGTATTTTTTCTTCAGGTTTTTGTCTAAATATATGCATCAATTTGTTGTTGACGTCATAGAAATTCGTTGAATCTGCACATGTTCTAAGTAGTAAAGCAAACTCTGTTTCGAGTATCTCTCAGTTGAAGCAATCAGCAGACAGATAGGCCTGCCGGCTATTTCGTTGTTGAACCATGTCCTTTATCAACGGAACAAAATAGATTCCTTCAGCCAAAGATTGTCGTGTGTGACGGAATGTACGCTAAGCAGTCACAAATAACTTTCGTCAGTCAGGGTATTAAGTTAAAATTGAACTGTGACCAGCTGAATCCTTGAGACATCGCTGAAAATTAATCTAATTGTGCATCGGTTTCTCCACAATGCGTCTTTACTACTACATTTGAGTTTTAGCCCTTTTTCAGCCTTGGCACTTACTAGAGAATTATATGCAGGTTTTTCGAACTTTGCCGATATTTGGTAAAGTTCCTTGGGTAGGATCAGCCCATTGCAAGGCTTTTACCTACGCAGGACAACACAACATAAGAAAACGCTGGCATAAATCCGTGTTTCGTGCGGGTCTTATGGAGTGATATTTATGACCATGTGTGTTTACTCGCTTTAGAATTACCCCGTTGTTTTTTGACGAGCAATGTACTTAGTAAAATAAAAAAGTATCCTTAAAGTTAGAATGATCCCGTAGATAAAATGTTACCATGGATTGATGCATCTCAATTTTAGTTTCTTCGACGAGCGAAGATGCAGAATCTTTGGGCAACCTAACTGCCCTAGGTGAACGCAAGTTGAGCGACCAGGTGAGAATGATCCTGGACCACTACAAGCAGGCAGATCCCGTGGGAATTCCCGGCGCACCAATTTCGGACCCAATGCCAATCCCAGACATGAAGCATTCCTTCACGTATGCTACAATGAACTTCAAGTCCGCTCACGTACACGGTCTAAGTCGGTTTCGAATCCAGCACATCAAGTCCGATCTAGCGGCAATGCAGGTTGGTAGTCCTGTTATGTGTTGTACCTTTGTCGTTGAACTTTAGACTCGACTCACAATCACGTTTAGATTGCATAGATGCAGAATGTTGTGGCCACAGGATGAAGAGGATATTTCGGGTAAAGAGGGACGAAATAACATCAAGAGGAATTAGATTGGCGGGGCATGTAGCACACATGGTGGAAATGAGAAATGGGCATAGAATTTTCTTTTTAACACCTAACGGAAAGAAAACATAGGAAGATATAGGAATACATGGGAGGATTATATTAAAATGGAAGGTTGAAGGGTGTGGATTGGGTTAATTTAGAGCAGGATAGAAGTTTTAATGGTCTAACACTTATAAAGGTTTATCGATATGATGTAATGTATAGCTAACGGATTAAAGAAGAATAATTGTTTCCGATATTACAAAATTTATTTATCTTTAATTTTTGCCACAATAATCCAGTTGCATGAATAAGTTAAAGGATGAAAATGAGGTAAGAACGCGGTGTGATACGATTTTTTTTCGGTTTTCAGTTGTCTGTGGGTTTGCGTATAGAGAAGCTGGAGGTCTTAGGAAACTACACGATGTCTTCATGGTTCAGTCGTTCCAACGGGCCCTTCAATGTCACTTTGTCTAACGTGTACATCGAAGGTTTTGCAAAGCTCGAAGTAGAACGCGGAGGCCAATTGCAAGCACAGAATATCGACATGGACATTTTATTCCAGGACATCGCCATGAACTTCGAGAACCTCGGTTTCTTAGGAAGTCTCTTCCAGGTCTGTACAATCATTGAAAGTTTTAAATTGTATGTGCTACGAACTAGATATCCCGTTTAAAATGCTCTAAATGTTTTAAATTGTTTTAAGTGTGTGGCAGATCTGTGGGAGATAGGAGTTGAAGGCGATTCGATTTTGTTGGCCCAGGACAGGTACCGGTGGAGGGCTTTGGTTAATTCTGTGATGAACATTCTGGTTCCCTAAACCATCTAGTTAGTTAGTTTGTTAAGTGTGCGGCAATGTTTGTGAAGAATGAGTCATAGAATATTTTTCATTTCTATTGTTACCGCGTAATGTTATTCTATTAAATTCTTTTTTTATTTGAAAAATATACGTATGTAGACTGATGTGAAATCTTTACCAATTACGTTTAGACATGTTTTATCCAACAAGTTTTTCTCTGTGGCGAATATTAACGAGAAAAGAGTGTTTCGTCATTACAAATTTAGTTTTATAGGATAATAGGATAATATTAAAGTGGTTAGTACGGAAAATGGGATGATAAGATGTGAAATGGGTTCAGAACAGGAGCCAATGGTAGACTGAACACGGTAATGAATCTTTGGGTTACACAGGGAATGTTTTGAATAGCTGAGCGAAGAAATCCCTTAGACATCCGAGAAAACACGTTTCTGGTTGCTTAAGAACGACTCTTATAACCGATGTGTTTCTCCTCTGCAGGGTATCATCAACTCAGTCGGAACGTTTCTCTTTGACAGCATCAAACCCTTCATTCTGACCGAGGTGAACACTAATATTCGTGGTGACGTGAACAAGCACATCCGGGCTTTGCCGCAGACATTTCCCAACTCCATCTCCCCACTTGACATGGCCCTAGCAGAGGGGAGGCGTCATGTGCGTGAGATGGGTTACGACCCCTATCACCTCCCGGATTACAACTACACTGCCGGAATATTCCGAATTGACCTCACCCATTCCTGGGCCTCGGGTATGTCTTCTTTCTACAGAGTCGGAAATGTGAGCGTGACGATGGAAGATAACATCGTATACGTAGGGGTTCACGTGGGAACGCAGAGGCTTGAAGGCAGGACTCTGTGGGAGGTGAATGTCGGAGGATTGGTTAGTCAGGCGGGATCTGCCATCTTCACCGTCGAGTATATCCATGCCAAGACAGAAGTAAGTCAGCCAATGGACACGAGGAAAAGACCCATCCTTAAAGACCTTGATTTCAAAGTTGGTAATATTCAAGTTCGCATGGATGGTGCTGGAACTTTGGATTATGTAATCGAATTTGTTGTAAATGTCTTGCCTAACTTGTTGCGTTATCAGATAGTGAATGCTGTGGAAGGACCTATCAAGACGCGTGTGCAGGATATCATGGACTCGATTGATGTCGAGGAGCTGATAGAACAGAAACTTCCAGATCTGGATAAAGTAAAACTCTAGCGATAGGAAAGGCGACCCTTCCGATATCTGGAGTGGACATATAGCCTGGAACAATTTTGTACTGAAATTTCAGTCAGTTATGTATGTAATGTATACGTATTATGTTACAATCAATTCTACCTGATTTACTATCAAATACTTTTGGGCTGTCGGAAGAGTAAAGATATATTTAGACTCGTAAAATGTCCCCTAAAAGTATAACAATATTTAATAAATATTATTTTACGATAGCCTTAATCCCTACCTACAAATTCCAATCGTGTGTCAGGATAGAATTTAGAAAATTTCTTCAATTGAAGGAGATTAAGGATCTTATTTTATTACTGCAACAGGGAGTACAGACTTTCCAACTGCCTTGGTCTAAGACCCTCGAAACAGAAAAGATTACAGGTTCCAAAATCGAGGTATGGACATTTATTTGTCCGCTTTCTTTTGTGATTCTTTATAATGGTGGAGGCCTGACTTTAATTTGATTCTATCATCAGTTTTGTGACGAATGTAGAGAATATGGCTGCCTTATGGGTAATAGCTCGGTGTAGTGTGTTAGAAATGTACCAGTGTTTCGGAGGTCCTTGCTGCCTCCATCATCAGGACGATAAATTTCGTGAATCTCAGCACTAGAGAAGGCCATAACTGAAGTCATGTTTGAACACTGAGCAGATGAAGAGTCACACAATTGGTGAATTTATCGATCATTTTCTATCCAACTGTCCAATAAGTTATTGAGAATATTAAGACAGTTGTCGCTGTGAATTTTGACATGATAGGAATGAACGAGTTGGTAGCCATTACGTCATAACTGACAATTCATAAAAAAACATTCTATCTTGTGAATATAACGGAACGACCATATAGTCAATAAATTCCCCATCTTTATGAGACCCGATGGTTTATTATTGTGTGCACAGTAGCCCGCCATTGGTCCTTATTCTGAACGAGATGAATCCAGTCCCAACGTTTGTTTCCCCAGCAAGATCTATAAAAGCCATTCCATTACATGTCAATGTTGGCACTTCCTGAAGTAGAGTTGTAACTCCTACTGATTCTCAAACTCGACACTAGATGGGAGTGAATGGTCGGCATCACGTCTCGGCCGTGCTTTACCCCCGGGAAAGTACCCCGGTACGCATTGGACAGGAGGCTGGTTTGACCCGAGAGCCGGTCTGGACTCAGAGGCTAGAAGGAAATCCTCGGCCTCTGTCGGGGATCGAAACCCGGTCGCTCAGCCCGTAGTCACTATACTGACAGCTGCCCGGCTCACTCGTCAAGATCTATATTAATTTAATACTGTTATCTACTCAAAAGTTTCAAATTTGTCTCTCTTCTTTAAGGTTTTCCGACCAAAATTCTGTAGATACATTTATTATCTCTCATGCGTGCTACATGACAAACCCAAAATTTCCTTGGTATGTAAGGCCTAGGATGTTGAAAAAAACGTCATGAAAATAGTAGTTTTTTTATGTATGAGACGAAGTACAGTTTAATAAAAAATGACGATGATTTGGCGGTTATGAGAAACGCGCGTACACAACGCCGTATCAGGTTTTCCCAAATTGATTTCCTCATAAATTGGTGAGCGTCTAAACGTCTGTGCAACGCCACACCCCATCACTGGTTGGCTACTGCACCTGCTTCTCGGTTCTTTGATGAAATGTCGACACTGTTTGATCGAGTGCTCCCTTCAGGGTTGTCAGTACTGTTCTTTGTCTGTCCATTCATTGGTCCATCAATGTGTGTATGTTCAGGTTTTGCAAACATCCTGGTTATTCCCGGGCAACCTGAAACCGCCATGTTCCACAGTCAGGTCATTTATTTGTCTGTGACTGTTTATGTATATAAGAAAGAAAAATTTCATGTCGTGATGGGATATTGATTAAAGATTATCCATTATGTGGTGCGGACATTATTTATTTATTCGGCAACATAAAATAAATAAGAAACCAGATTTCAGTGATTACGAAATTTTATTCAAATCTAGCACTTTTTTTCACCCTGAAGAAAGTCGAGCATTGCACATTCAATGATATAAATTTGTTATATATTTTTATTTGTGTCACATTTAAAAGAGTGTCAATGTAGCCTCAATGTAATTTAGTATTGGGACTTGCCTGAAGTTGTGAGATAAAAGTTGCTTGAGAAATTAAGTTTTCATGAATGGTTCCGTAAAACATAAATTAAACCACAATATTAACTTTTGTTCCCAAAATTGTTAGAAAATTAAATAACATTGAGCTGCTATAAAAAAAATGGAAAATTAAAGGAAATTATATTTTTGCCGGTGTTTAATGATCTCTACGTGATATTAACTGGCTGTTTGTGCCAACATAAATCTTTCCCAGTACTGAACACATTTGTCATTGTAGGTCTATAGGCCTGTTTATCCGTATCTGAAACTTATTTATGATACTGATCATCAGAGTTTCAAAATTTAGACGAAACTGAACTCAGACTTGAAGAGTTTCTACTTCGCCATGTTGTTTCTTTACATGAAGACAATTTTAATTTTGCATATTCCTTCACATAAAGTTCACATGCAGACAGCAGTTTTGCCGTTTTCTTTGAATGTAACATACGACCACCATAATTTCATTTCTACTACAAATTATAAAATTCTACATTGCACTCGCTATTTGCGAAAAGCATAATTCGTTTATTTTTGAGCGATATTTTAGCCTTGATTCACACTAGAGACACACAAATATGAGGGACGCTATTTTACCTGTGGCCACGCTTACAGTAGATACTGCATACTTTACTAAGAATATGACAGCAGTTTTACTCAGTTCTGATACTTGACCGTTTTAATTGCATGAATTACGCAGCTTACTACTTTTAAACGACAATTTTGAAGTCACACAGTTAATCTGCACAGGTTAACTGATCGTGTGTAGGGTTCTTAACAGCGCTTGGCCTTACGAAGGTCATTACGATATCTTCGTTTTCCTCCCCTAACACAGACATGCAGTGGTGTATCGTTTGTGGAAGCCTTATCAGTGGGATGGTATGACAAATCAAGCAGTCAAATTACCTTCCCATCATTCGTTAGTCTCTGATTACCCATCAGTCAACGCTAGAAAGAAAAATGACTCACAACAGCGCCATTTCTCAAGCTCAGCGAGGCACGTGTTCGGTTATGTGTCGTGCTTGTACGATACGTTTGTAATTAAAACATGTTTTACTTTAGGTGAAGTGCCTCAAGTGAAATAACTCGTGCTTAACATACTCGTGTTTGTTGAAAGTGTGTTGCGAGAACGATTTCCGAAGTGTTTGAAATTGTAGAAAACAAATCCAGTCTTAAAACCGGATTTCGTGCGTGTGCCTGTTTAATGTGTACATTTTACTTCCGACCCAACAACAACGCCTGAAGCCATGACACCGAAGTTTCATGCAAAAGGTAAGTGATTACAACCAAAACAGTAACTTGTTACTTTACATTGTATTTGTTATAAAACCCCACGACAAGGTTGTCCAGACAGCAAGATCGAGGGTCATGCACTAGGGTTGTCCATGGATTAGGGCCGGTTAAAGTTTGTGAATTCCGGAATGACACCTTCATTCAGGCCACAACTTCCATTAAATATTCTTTTCAGTTTATTATTCGTCAGTCATTCTATCAACAGACGGTACATTATAGACTAGCCTGAGCTACTGCAGCGTCATTTAATAAACTACAAATAAAATCCGCGTGAAATTTCATGATTTTGGAAACAGTTTGTCTCGGATATGTGACGTTGTGTAGACAGATTTATTATATTAATATTATTTTTGCACTCTGGTCTGTTCAAGAGAAAAAAATAAGTTTATTTTACATTCCCATGGATTTTTGCTGATGAACTCGCAGAATTTGATCTTTCATGTATTAGAGAATTGTTTCTGGTACTCTAATATTCCATGTCTGAAATATCTGTAATTTTTATAAACGCCGTATGAAATTCATACACTTTGTCCAACCTCGAAAAACGTCCCTGTTTTCAAGAAATATATTAAAACAGGCTTTCTTCTTCAGCAGGGTTGGTTACATACGCTGTAGCATTTATATTTCATAACAACAAACATTATTTTGCATTCAAGCACCTGGTTAATCAACGCCGCACCGGAACAAATAAATTATGAAAACGAAATGATGTCGGATAAACCAGAATACGAGAACCGTGAAACAGGAAGACAGTTCTCCGAGTGTTTATATTGCGTTGGGAGTTGTGTTGTTTCTTATAGTCATAATGGATGGCCTTCTACTATTCCGTAGCGTGGAAACAGTATACGGCTTCATTAAAAACATTTTTCCCTTTGTTTTTACTCCATCCTTTTAGCCTAATTTCCTTATTATATAAGGACAAATATTTATTTATGAAACAAAGTGTCCTTTGATCAGATCTAAAGATTTAGACCGATTGATAGGTCAGTAATACCAACTTCTCAATCGTGCGAGTTTGCTTAATATTAAATTCAGCGACTGCCTTCTCGTAAAATATATAGTGGATGATTCTAATAGGCATGTATCATAATACCACATGCTAATACTGAGTAAAAAGTGTTCTTGGTAACCCAGTTTAAAGTCAGTACAAATTTCTTTTAATTACAGTTAACACTGAGAGGAGAAACTGATCCAATTTTTTTGAACATATCTGAGCACAGTTCTGTAACATGGCAGCTGAGTATTACTTTGCATATGGCACTAAGCCAAGTCTCTGTGTTTCAATCGAGGGTCAGATAGGTCAATCAGTCTCCTAGCTCATTAAATTTGCTCCAAGCAAAAATATTCGTGCGTGAGAGGAACGAACTTGTGGCTACACGCGCTCATCTCAGTGGTTCCAGTGGTCGTTAACAGATGGCAGCATAGAGATGTTTCGCCAGGCTACGTGATCTAGAAACTTGTCCAGATGGAAGTACTCTTGTTCAACTGCCAGTGATTATTTCCTTAAAATATAACAAATTGAATCCAGCACAAACGTTCATACAATGTTTTAAAAAGGTATATTTTTTATCCTCCCATACACATAAATTTTTTTCCGAGGGTCTGTTAGCTTCACATAATTTGTTTAAAATTGCGTGTGGATTTATTACATTCCTATCCGTGTTAAATGTCTGTCAATAACAGCCTCATCTTTGATTTAATCGCTCTAACAATACGTGAAGGCTAGACGTTAGGAAGCTCTTCAGTGTGTAATTTTCACAGCCTTCTGGTGGTAAATTCTCACTCAGTGTTAACATATGCAATGAATGGAATAGTGTTTACAAGGCGAGGAATAGAATTTTTAAAATTTGTTAAATTACTCATGTGAAAGGCAACCGATAAATAAAATGTTTCTGTGCGCTATATGTCAACTGTACACGCAACTAGAATTAAATTCTGTGTATAGAACAGACTGGAAGCTTGAATTTGGTTGAGTGTACTGTAATGTGGCATGAATTTTCACAGCTTTCCCACTTAATGGACCTGAAATTGATATGGTGATGGACAGAGCCTTCTGAATGTTCCATTGGGCCAGCAACCGCTGGTCTGTGTCTACCAATTACAGTGTTCTAGCTAGCTAGCCAGCCAGCCAGCGCAACACAAAAGTCCCAATGGGGCATGAACACCCCGTAAACCCGTTTATCCACATTACGTGTCAAATTGATCTAATTGTTCTTTAACTGTTATTGCACTGGGTCAGTTGACGTCTACTGGTTTACGCATCTGGTTAAAAACCGTGAACGTCTGGGCACGTGAAAGCAGGGTTAAAGCCTCGCCTTTTTAAATTGGTGAGACAATGTCTCTCGAAATAAAACTCAAATGTATTCACCACTCAACAAAATCCACAGTCTTTCAGTGTGTTGCATACACACACATTTTTATAGGGGATATTTTAAAAAGAATCCCCGATAAATTATTACGTAGCTCAATTATAAAAGTTTGTGACGATGGTGCGTTGTTGAAGTAAAATGTTTTCTGGATATTATCCATCGTCCAATACTAAATAACATCAATATAAACCACGATGTTTCGGAGATGGGAGTCTATCTGCGTCTTCAAGTAAAACCTACTCTGTTGGGCCCAATCGATAGAGCAAATCCCCGAGGTAGTTTGCGATTGGTTTTAAATGTGTTCAGACGTTTCAGTACCGTCACATTTAAACCACTTATTATGAATCATAGTATTCTCCTCTTTATCGCCGAAGAAAATATTGTTCGTCTTGTGCTGTATCGATTCACAGTTGAACTTTTAGTTTGTGTGTGAGCTTGCCATCCATCATGATTTAAGCATCAGGTAAAAGCTCGGACTTGGCGAACGCATAAACATTAGACTGTGCACGACTAAGGTATTAGCGACTTATAAACTCTCTGACATCATGTTCCATGGATCCAGGCTCGATAAAGTCTATTCCCGGAAATATTTAGTCCTTATAATTTATACGCTTAATAAATTTGTTTTCTCCCCAGTCGACAGATTTTAATTAAATCTTCATTCAGTTTCATGTTTAAAGAATAAATCGTTGTCCGTAAAACGTAAGTGTATTTATTTATTTATTTATGTCTTATTTAACAGCGTTTTTAATCGTTCAGATTATACAGCGTCGAATGTTTGGATGGTTAATAATTAATGAATTGGAAAAGAGATGGAAAGAAGCTGTCGTTTTATAATGTAAAGTGCTGTCCGGGTATATGTCTGGAACGGCTGAGGAAGACCATACAATTTCTTCAGGATACCCGGTGTTCATTTTTATTTGTTCGTTTGTGACGTTTAGGGAAGGTTTCTTTTTGAGAATTATAAACTAAAATATGGATAGAAAGTGTTGTCTTTCGTCATGATATTCACCTTTATGTGAAAGTAAAAAAATGATAATAAAGCCTTAAAACATATAGCAATGCTGCATAAAGACAAAAGAATAGATCTACTCAACTCGCGGACCCCTGGTTGATAAACATCGCTATAAAGGGTTAAACCAGACATTATGCAGATTGGCTGTTCATTATAGTTGCTTTCGCCTTCGGTATAATATTGACACTGATAAGGCCTTTCCAGCAATACAGATAATGACGAATAAGCCTATGTCAGACATATATGATTAGTGGCGCTTTGTGGCTTCTTCTGAACTTATTTAAAAGTACGTGCTTTTCTTCAGTAGGATAATTTATTCCAAGATTTACCGCCATTAAATAAGAGAAATGTAGAAGAGTGTAATGTTTTTCATTCTCGTAAATACACCTTCTTTGTTTAGACTGTATGTCGTGTTTTGAAACTGTATTTTTTCAAATAAAGTATTTGTCAAATGAAACAGTTTCAGCGTAGACTATTAGATTTAGTTCAATCGTTAAACTGAATTTAAGACTTTTAATATCCATTTCTGTTTCTTGCATGACAGATAAATAACATTCAGAGACCTGTACCTGTGCGTTCTTAAATTAAAAGTCTTGTAAAATGAACACTCATTTTGCTCGCTATTAGAGAATATCCCGTATTTCTTCTCGTTCTTCTATTCTTTATCCATCTTTCTTGTCTCGTAAGTATAGTCGTCCTTTGCCCCTTATTTCTCTCTTTCTCTTCGTCTCTCTCAATTCGCTTCTCGTAAGCATTTTCCTACTAACTTCACACCTCTCACATCTCCATTAAGTCTGGTCATAAGCCAGTCGGAGCGACGGCCATTACTCCTGTAAGGAACCGAGGGGAGAATACAGGAATTAATTGAAAATCCTTCCCTTAAGACTGTGCAGCTCATGTAGCTATGCAGTAAAGCGCAGGACTTCACTACTGTTTGACACTGTGATTCTTTTCAAAAGGACCCGTCTTGCGCAGAATATAATATTTTCCATTTTTAACGTATCACGAAAGCATTTTATCTAACTACTGTCTTCTGAGTTGTAGCGTCGTGTAGCCTGGTAGAACCTATAAGACAGCCATCTTCGTACTCAACGCCTTGAAAACCTCAAATCTTACTTACGATATATTTTCTTCTTCTAAAATTGGATCAGATATTATTAATTCTGGCGCGTTCATCAGAATTTGAGAAGGGGTCAGTGACCTTTGATTAGGTGGGATGTCTGTCGCTTGTCTGCGTGGTTATGACGTCATACATCACGTGGTTGAGCGTTTGGCTAGGGATTCCCTACGCGGGAGTTCTCCAGGTAACCATGTAAACAAAATAACTAAGGTAGACTGGAAATTTTATGCCGAGTCACGTTTTTACACAAAACACGCGTACATCTTCCAGGAAAGAGGCCGTTATTGCTGTATTGTTTAATAAACATTAACGTCCATCAACAGACTGTAGTAAAACTACCAAATATCGCATTTAATTGAAATCCGTTTGTCTTATTTCAGTTGTTATGTGCGGGTAGACTACGTTCAGACATGGCGAAGGAAACAGAAACATTCCTGCAATTTTTAGTTGCAAACACGCCTTAAAATAACAAATA